TGTGGGAGATCTCAAATTGCATCCCCAGCTCTTGGCTTCAGCCTGGCCCAGGCCCAGGCCCAGCTGTTGTGGATTATTTGGGAAATGAATCAGTGACTGGAAGCTCTCTTTCTGTGTCTACGGCTCTTTCTCTGCATTTGTTTCGATGCCTTTCAAATAAATAAAAATAAATAAATGCAAAATTCTTTAATGATATAACTAGGATTTGAATTCAGATCTACTCCAACAGTGCATCCTCTTAACTAGTGATAAATTGAATTCTGCTTTTCCTACATTTAACATTATATTGTGACCTTCTTTCCATTTTAAAGACTTATTTTATTTACTTGAAAGTCAGAGTTATAGAGAGAGGGAGACAGAGAGCAAGTAAGGGACCGGGGAAGAGGGGAGAAAGAGAGAGGGAGACAGAAAGAGAGAGAGAAAGAGAAAGACCATTAGCTGGGTAACTCCCAAACAGCCACAGTGGCAGGGCTGGGTCAGGCTGAAGCCAAGATCCAGCAGCTTCATCGAGGTCTCCCATACGGGTGCAGGGAGGCAAAGACTTGAGTCACCAACTGCCGCTCTCTCAGATGCATTAGCAGACAGCTGGATCAGAAGAGAAGCAGCTGGGACTCCAACTAGCATCCATATGCAATGCGAGCATCACAGACAGCAACCTAACTCACTACACCTCAACACCAGCTCCATGAACTTCTATGTTAAAAAATAAAACTCTACAAAAATGTACAGATGCAAGTGTTAATTTTTCCCACTGCAGAAAAGAATGGCACAGATATCCTTATTAATACATAAACTTTGTACATGTCTCTAAATATTTCTTCATGATAAACTCCCAGAAAATTAATTGCTGGGTCTAAAGGTAAATGCGTTTTTCAAGCTTTTGATAAATATTGCCAACTGCCATTCCCACCAGAGGTATTAGGGAACACCTGCTCTCTTGGGTCCTTGCCAGCACCAAGTCCTGTCATTCCCTTTTAATCTTTGCAATTTATGTTAGAGAAAACAGTATGCCATTTGAACCTCTCATCCTTTACTTCTGAGATGGCATGTTTTATGTTTTTTGTGCTTGCTGGCATTTGGACTTCTCCTGTTACATATTTTCCTTCACACATTTCCCCCATTCATTGCACATTTTTCTAGCAAATTACTTGTAGTTTTCTTATTGCTCTGTGAGTCTTTATGTGTTAAGGATAATGAGTCTTATTGAAAATGTTTCTAGATTTTCATTAACGTTATTTACGGCCTGTGCCAAAATTTTTACTGTTCACTGATGTTCTTAACACTATTTTTTCTACCTTTGGTATTATACATACAAATATTCTCCCAATCCTAGGATCATGTGGTCTCCTATAGGTTTTCAGTTCCTTTTTCATGCCCCTCTCTTTCTTTTTGAAACCTTTGCTTAACACAGCAGTTCCCAAACAGAATTACACATCTTTAAATGCTCAAACCTTTTCTTCTTAAATTTTTACTTACTTAATAGCAGAGATACAGAAACAGAGCAGTCCTACTTGTTGGTTCATTCCCCAAGTTCTCCCAACAGCCAAGGCTCGGGCAGTCCAAAGCCAGGAACCTGCAACTCAATTCAGATCTGCCATGTGAGTGGCAGAGGCCCAAGCATTTCCATCATTGTCTGTTGCCGCTCAGAATGCATTAACAAGAAGCTGGATCAAAAGTCGTAACACCAGGACTCAAACTGGCACTCTGCTATGGCATGAGGGTGTCCCAAGTAGTGGTTTAACCCACTGTATCAGAAAGCTCACCCACGGCATGGGTAAACTTTTCAAAGATTTGTTTTATTTAGGGTTTGGTGCAATAGCCTAGTAGCTAAATCCTAGCCTTGCATATGCTAGGATCCCATATAGACACCAATTCATGTCTCAGCTCCACTTCCCATCCAGCTCCCTGCCTCTGGCCTGGGAAAGCAGTTGAGGACGGCTCAAAGCCTTGGGACCCTGCACCCACATGGGAGACCTGGGGGAGGCTCCGGGCTGCAGATTAGCTCAGATCCAGGCGTTGTGGCCACTTGGGGAGTGAATCATCGGATGGAAGACCTTCCTCTCTCTCTCTCCTCCTCTCTGTATCTGACTTTGCATTAAAAATAAATAAATCTTTTTTGAAAAGCTAATTCTAATGCGCTCCTAAATTGATGTTGGTGTTATTTTTCTAAACTACTTCAGTATGTTTCTTAAATAAATCATTTCATTCATTTGAAATGCTATCGTTATCCTAGTTAGTAAACTCGAGAGCAGAGACCACACCTGTTTCCTTGATCATTCATTCCCATCTGCAGTATATGTGGGTTTGATAAATGTTAACTGAATAATAAGTAACACCAGCAACACAAGTCTCCAAACCAACTCCTCTTCAATATTTTCTTGCCTGTTAGACCCATACAGAATAACAGAGGACAGGCCCTCCAAGGACAATCTAAAACTACCACCACAGAACAGGGTCCCAGCGCCACTCCAAGTGTAAAAAATCATCCTCATTGCAGTAGTAGTGGTAGTAATTAGTACTGCTAAATTTTCTAAGCATTTATGACCTGCTAATAAACAATTTTCTAAATATCTTACTCTTACCCAAGGGTACACCTCTCTATGGCACCCACTTGGTTCCAAGTCCTTTGCATATATGAAGGAGACATCACAACATCCCTATGAGTTCTGTGCTCCCCATTTGACAAAGTGGGAGAATGGAACACAGAAAGGTTAAGAAACTTCCCCAAGATCTCATGGCTACAAAGTAACAGAAGCACAGGATCCCAGCCTCCACATTGAACTAATACACCTTCCAGCTGATCAATCGTGCTATGCTTGTCATCTCAGAGGTTGCCCCAAGTCAAGGATAAGCCAGCTACAGCTATCAAAGGCTTTCCTTATGTGGAATATCCCCCCTTCACCAATGCTAGAAAAAAAAAATGAGGCTTTGTGCCAATGTAATTTTAAGCTGATCAGATTTCAGGGCCTGAGCTTGTAAAATATATTACTTATTAGGAAAATATGACATTTTTATTAAGAATTGTTAAACATTAAAATGTTTTATCATGAAATAAATCATTAACTATGAGTGATATTTCCACTGACTATATAGAAAAGAAGAAAAACACAAGTCCTTTATATATTAGTGGGAACAAAACTCGAGATCTCTACCTGCATATATTCCAGTTCCGTACTTTCCAAACTGTCTCTGAAACATCCAGCTGGCAGGCGAAAGGTGTCTCAACCAAAACCGGTCAAGCCAAGCTCAGTGCATAAACTTCTTCCATCCACATGTCCTTGGGCCGCCTCCTCATATTCCCGCATCTCAGAGTGGCACCACTGGCTCTTACCACCCAAGTCGGCAGTCAACTGGGCTCACTTCTTAACACATCCAAACCCAGAACATTCTAGAATTCACTCTGTTCTCCTGCACAGACCCTCACCACCTCTTCTCTATTCAGAAACCCTCCCACCATGTCCAGTTTTGACCCCACCTCAGCACTGCTGCCAAAGTAATTTCTCTAGGACAAAATCTGATTATGTTCCTTCCTTGTTTAGAATCCTTGTCTCCAGGATAAAGTGTAAAATCTTTCCTAGGACATACAAGGTTCTTTTTATGATCTGGCCTCCAACTACCTTCTCTGCTTCATCTGAGGTCGTGCCCCTATACATCTTGCACTAGGCAAACAAAGCAACTTGCAAGTCCCCCAACACTGCTGCTCTGTCTAGAATGCACTCCTCTCATTCGCCCATCTGGCAAACTCCTACTCATTTTTTTTTAGACAAGCTCAAAACTCAGAGTTCATCATGTTTTTCTCTTGGCTTCCAATGCATTTTATGCCTCTGTCTATTGTAGCACTGATTCAACATGAATACATTCAACATGATACAATTGCTAGTGTATGCATCTTTATCTCCCAAATGATAAGGAACCTTCCAGGGTTCCGCTTCTTATTCATCTTTCTATTCTGTTTGGCGACTGAGAAAGAATGTGGTCAGGATTTAATAAAAATATACAAACTGCTCGTGATAAATGCTCCGCATGAGAATGAAAGCCAGCATATAATCAAATCCCATTCGCGTTAGTGTTTCAACTGGTCTTTCCTACCATTCCAACAATCTGCTGCATTGGTGTGCAAGCATGCATTCAACTGAGACAAGCAGCACAAGTAAACATTTTTAAAAGTTACATTAGACCACCGACAAATCCGCCTGAAGAGTCATAGTCAGGTGCTTTCGTTCTACTCCATCTAAATGATCCTCAACATTTAAGTGAGTCACAGATCAGTTCTGACAGCCTTTCTGTATTGTTTCTCAGACCCGCATTCTTGTGACAAACACAAAAGTCTTACATGAAGATTTTGATACTCTGAAACAAAGGGCACATCATCAACCCCATCAATATACATATGTGTGAATATATATATATATACATATTTTTGTATATGGTAGGAACTACAGATTCACAAGAGATAACATCCCATTAGCCAAGATCATTGTTACACTGTGAGTTGTGACTTTGGGGTAGCTTTCATACTTAAATAGGCATTTTCTTCCCGTTACCATATATAAAAACTGCAACATTAACTATGCTTCTTTTCTTTCCAGACTAAGTCCCAAGAAAGTTTCGATTATGAAAAGGAAGCCAAAAGGCACAGTCATCCATCTCCTTCAAGAAGCCCGCACTAGGAATATGCAGGAAACAAATGAAAAACACAAACAGGCCAGATGATCGTCCATGTCCTCACATACAACGCCCACCAGCACCAGTTCACACGGAATTCTTCTAAATGCTTGAGCAGGACATTTTCCTACCCCGCTCCCCAACCTCCACTTTAAAAGACTGAATTTCTAGCAAACAGCAGCTTCTTTTAAACTAAGGTGCTTTGTCCTTGCAAAGACAAAGGGTTAAATTTAAGAAACATCTGGCTGCTGGTGTGTATGTGGGGGTTGTGGAGGTGAGTTGGAGACTAGAGTAGGAGAAAAACCCAGTTCCAGAAAGAGGTGTTGATGTCTTACCCTGCCACATGGCCATCTTGGTCCTATCTTCTACACTGGGGCGGCGGGCTCAAGGTTGAGCGGAGTCCCCCAGTTTCGGCGGGGAGGCTGGATGGAAACACAGCTGTGTGGCCGCTTTCTGCAGGAGGTGAAGTGGCCGCTTTCTGCAGGAGGTGAAACAGCTCCCAACCTGAAAAAGATACACAGAAAAATGGAGACCTCAAGAGGGGAAAAAGAAACATTGTGAATGCTTGAAAATGATCTCCTGCCCCTCTCTCGCCCAAAGACAAGCAGCAGACATGGGTGGTGTCAAATTTCCCCCTAGGCGGCAGGGTAGGGTAGGTACTGTGGCAGAAAAAAAAAATCAGAGATGTGGAGTCAGTTCCTGTCACTACTGAGGGCTGTGGGGCTGGGCTGCAGTCACTGGTTTTGGGGAAAAGGGGTGCAGAACCTCAAAGCACAAAAGAGTGGCTGAGCTAACCGATTCAGTTGGAGACTGAAGATCAGCATCACCCACGCCCTGCCCGACCCCCCCAACAGACCTCACTTCACCTTCAGAAAAACTCTTGCACAGGTTAAACATAATTGAAAGGGAGCATAATAAAAATAAAGCGGAGGGCTGCCTGGGTGCTGGCTGCATCTCTCGCTTTCGTCGTACTTTCCCACACTTTGCAAATTCCTCATTATGAGCATACACTGTTTGGGTCATGGTGGTAGGGGGTGAACACAAGATGGAAAACATACAGACAGAACACCGATCAGTGCAATCAAATTAATTCAAGTAAATCTGCTGGTGCAACTCCACTTGAAACCTTAATACAATACTTCTTACAAGGCTACAAGATGAGCTAAGAATGGGGCGGGGGGGATGAGAGGTGTGACTTACTGGAGTCTGTTCGGTGCTATAATATTGCCAAGGCTACTTCATTCAAGCAACGTCTTCATCGCTGGGTCTTCCTTACTTAGCACACAAACCAATCAAAAGTCCTTACCTTTCCGATTTGGTCAACATCAAAACGGGCTGCTGTTTCCATAGCTTTTGAGGCTAATACTAACTTGAGAATCATACTGGCCTTCTTCGAACACCTTGATTTATTGTTTTTCTTAAGAACAAAGGGGTCATGCATACACATGCCAAAACGGCATTAGTGAAAAGACAGAGCTTTGGCTAAGGAAAGATTTGGCAAAGTCCAATGAAATCCGGAGGTCACAGAGTCCTGGGATGATATCCCAAGAAAACGAGCCTAGGCGATTGACCTGCAACAGTCTGTTTGGATGGGTGCATTTTTTTTCCCCCTTTTTCTTTCCATTTAGGGTGGAGTTCCAAAGTATTGATTTATGCCTCAGAGAGACCAGCCGAAATTCACCATCTGCAAAGGCAAACCTGGGCCGTTTCTAAGAAACGTACGAAGAGAATACGCAAAACGCATTCTCACTGGCTTTAGACTGCTCCCACTTTTGGACTTTGCATGCTTGCTCAGTGCTGTTAGCATATGGCCACAGTGCCCTTGGAGCTGCAAGCAACTGATGTCTTCTGAAATGTTAACAGAGGTAAAAGGCATGTCCGTGTTAGAAAAATAAATAAATAAATAAAGTACAGCTTGCCCTGGTGGTGAAAGGCGCCTGGAGCGCAAAGCTTGAACGTCTGGAAAGCAGAACCAGCTCAGCGTGTTAAGTGGCAAAAAGAAAACGCACAGCCACCACTTAACTTCGTCTAGAGTTTGGACTCTGACTTTGCAAAGAGCCACACGAACCCGCGGCAAGTCCAGAACGGGAAGGGAGAAGAAGAACGGGGCCTCGACGAAGCTTTAGCAACCACAGCTAAGCTACGCCTGTCTTGGAAAGGGGATGCGGGCAGCTAAGCTCCCAAATTCAAAAACGGGACAGGGCTTGGCGCCGCTCCGCAGGGAAACTTCGCTCGGGCAGCCTAGGGACCCTGGTCGGAGATCAGGGCTGGGCTCCTGGGGAGATGCCGCCCCGCGCTGGGTACGAATAGCCTGTCTACCTCCTCCAAGTGTCAGGGTCCGGGCGGCTGGGGACGGGAACCCCCATCTCCAGCGAGGAGGGCAGAGCCCGAAGGGAGCGCTTCCCTCCCCCGCCCCCTCACCCCTGCCTGGCCGCCTGTCGCTGAGTTGGGGGGGGGTGGGTCTGCTCCGGGGACGGGGCCGGGGGACCCGCGGCCTGCCAAGGAGCACTTGGAGAAGGGGGACAGCCCATTTGTCTTTACCTGTCGCCCGGGTCGGGAGCTGCAGAGTCCGGGTCCACCGCCGGTGGGCAGCGCGCTCGGTCGGCTCCGGCGTCCAGGACACCAAGTTGAGCTAGCGCCCCACGTAGCCGGCAGAGCTTCATTCACACAACCCAGCCGGGGAGGAGGGGGAGTGGAGCGGCCGCGCGGCTCATGTGACAGGCGCCTCGCGAGTAGCAGCTCAGCCTGTGCCGCGTCTGCGCGTGCGCGCCGCGCCGGGCGCGCACCCGGCCCCTCAGGCCCGGCCCAGGCGCGGGCGGGGGCGGCACGCCGGCTGAGGAGGAGCCGGGGGGAGGAATCTCGACGTACGCAATCGCAGTGGGGCAAGTCTCCGCGCTGCCATGTTTAATGAGGACCGGGCCGCTGCTGTGGGCGCTGGGTGTGTCAAGCTACGTCTCGGGAAGCTTCGTCCCAGCGTATTTCAGGTTGCAGCCTGCGGGTCCTTGTTGTGTGGGGTTGATCCGGAGCTTCCAGGCCACGGAGTAGAAGGACTGTGTTAGTTGCATTGACATCACAGATACTGAGCCTGTTATGTGCCAGGCACTGTTCCAAGCACTTTCCCTTTAAAAAAAAAAACACACACACACACACAGTAACCCAATGTAATGTGTGCCACTACGTCTCCGTTATTATTTATCAGAATAGAGAAGACACTGCTTAAATAATTAGTACAAGCCCCCATGATAGCAAAAATAGGGACAATGCAAATAGAAGCATACTTGCAACAGCCGAATCAATCCTCATTGCAACATTGCAAAGTCCGTAGTTTTCAGTTGTCAGTACTGTATCCATTTTAATTGTTACAAAGTGCAAGTCCAGAAAAAGAAAAGTCCCTGCACTAGTAAGTGACACAAGCAGAATTCAAGCCTGGGGTCTATCCAGCTCCAAACCCCATCCTGGAGTTGGAAGAACCACACACACACAGAAGCACACACACCACTGGGAATCCCGACTTTGGAGAAACCAAGTGGTCACGGCTACATATGACATAGGTTTTTCAGCCATGACAGTGAGGGGACATTGCACACCATAGAAACCATGGGTGTCGTGCCAAGTGGACAAAAAGCCGATGTGATTGGGGCAATTTGAAACAAAGCACCGTTCTAGTGAGCTAAGACGAAGAAGGACTGTGCTCGCCTGTCGCCATCAGGTCTGGGCTGGGAGAGTGAAGCCACAGTTGCAGTTATTGGGAACCACAAAGTAGAGATAGCTGGGGAGTATTGGCTCCTGTTATGCCTTATCTGAACTTCTGCGCCTGGGTTGGAAATCAGTGGGCACTCCTCCCCAGCCAAGACACTTCCGTCCTCCAAACGCAAGTGGCATGCTCTAACCAAGGCAATTCAAGCAACCAAGTTTCCAATCGAGGATGACGTGGATACTCAAGGACCACCTAACTGGCAACCATGCACCTATGGCTGTCGTCTGCCCTGTACAGCTGCATTCCATCTTCCAAACAAATCATTCTCTGTTTGATTTCAACCGCCTTTATCTGTGCCTGTTACTGCAGTCTGGTGCAGGGCCAGAGTTGTGGTTTGCTGGGGGTTTTTTCCCCCTCACCAGTAGCATTTTAAAAGTTCCTCCTTGCAGGCCCTCGGGTGTGGGGGAGGAGCCACAATAGAAAAGGATCAGAGTAGTCCTCCAACAAAGATAAAGCCAAGCACTGGGGATGGCTTCCGCAAAGCCGGGCGAAGTTCCAGCTGAGCACCTGTGAGTGGGCCTAAGTGGCTGAAGCTTGGGGTCAGGACTAGTAGGGGAGTAGCTGTGGCAGATAATATTATCCCAGTTTTGGAAGATGATAAATATTGCACTAAGTTTTGTTTGTTTGTTGTTGGTGTTGTTTTTACTTACTTTGGAAAGTGAGAAAAAATGTAGTTTGTGAACAAGGCAATGCATTTACTGCAAATGTTCTGTTTCCTCAAGATATTTTTATTTATTTTAACTTACTTATTGCAAAGACTGACAACAGAGAGGGGTGGGGGGGGGGCTGACTATGGCCTAGCAGCTAAAGTCCTCACCTTGGATGAGCCAGGATCCCACAAGGGCACTGGTTCTAATCCCTACAGCCCCGCTTCCCATCCAGTTCCTTGCTTGTGGCCTGGGACAGCAATCGAGGACAGCCCAAAGACTTGGGACCCTGCACCCACGTGGGAGACCCAGAAGAGCCTCCAGGCTCCTGGCTTCGCATTGGCGCAGCACCGGCTTTAGCAGTCACTTGGGGAGTGAATCATTGGATGGAAAATCTTCCTCTGTGTCTCTCCTCCTCTCTGTATCTCTGACTTTGCAATAAAAATAAATCTTTTTTAAAAAGAGACAGAGAGAGAGAGAGAGAGATTCCATCCACTGGTTCACTCTCCAAATGGTCACAACAGCCAGGGATGGCCAGGAGCCAGGAATTTATCCAGAGTGCCCATAGAGGTGGCAGAGACCCATGCACTTGAGCCATCTTCTGCCACTTCCCCAAGTGCATTAACAGGAAGCTGGATCAGAAACAGAGCTGCAGGGCTCAAAGCAGGGCTCAACATGGAAGGCCAGAATTTCAAGAAGAGGGTTAACCAACTTTACCACAATGCTGGCCCTGGAACGAACGAACTAACTAACTAACTATGTCTCTCTATCTCCAAATTACAAGCCAACCTTGAGAAAGAGATATCTCCTTTTTCAAATTTATTTTTATTGGAAAGGCAGATTAGATTTAGAGAGAGAAGGAGAGACAGAAAAGATCTTCCACTCGCTGCTCTACACCCCAAGTGGCTGTGATGGATGGAGCTGAGCCCATCAGAAGGCAGGAACCAAGAGCTTCTTCTGGGTCTCCCACAAAGCTGCAGGGTCCCAAGGCTTTGGGCCGTCCTCCACTTCTTTCCCAGGCCACAAGCAGGGAGCTGGAGGGGAAGTGGAGCTGCTGGGATTAGAACCAGCCCCTATATGGAATCTCAGCTCTTGCAAATAGAGAATTAGCCAATTGAGCCATTGTGCCAGGCCCAATCTCTTCTCCTCACACACATAAAAAACAGGGTTAGAGAAGACAATGTTGTAAGTAAAGTTGACATAAAGTTCCCTCTGTAGTGGGAGCACTTTGAGTTTACCTGGATTTCTTTTGGGAGAGAGGGGCCCAAGGTACCAAGTATATGGAAATTATGAGAGGCCTGCAGTACATGAATATGGCCACATGGTGTCGCCACTGACCGCTGAGAGCTTGCAGGGCTCTAGCCATGGACATTTCAAAAATGATTTATTTCAAAACAGAAATTTTTCTTGTTTTGTGACAGCAAAACAGTTACCAGAATGGGCTCTGTAGTATCACTGCTTGGGCTCAAAACTAACTAGATTCACACGCTGACTAGCTGTGTCCCTCAATTCAAATGAAGCAGTGGATGGAAGATCTTCCTCTGTCTCTCCTTTCTGTATATCTGACTTTCCAATAAAACAAACAAACAAACAAATCTTTAAAAAAGAAAAACTACTAAAATAGCAGATCATAGTGCCACCAGAACTGTCATATCTGGACAGCTTTGTCTTTCATTTCAAAATGGGAATTATATATAGACAGCAAAAAGTGCAGTGAAGACACAGCCATGGGCAGTAAGAAGTGGTTGTTTGGGAATTGGTCATTCTTACTTCTTAGCATTTTGTAGAACCCTTCTTATTGCTGCCAGCCACTGCACTAGCCCCTAGAGACACCAGTCTGAAAGTAAAGTATCTGGATTGCCCAAGAGATCCCTGAGACAGTTCTAGAAAAACAGGGCTGAATAAGAGAAAATGAACCAAGTCCTCTAGGTCCAGGGATCTATAAAAACAATACATTGGAAAATTATGGGGGCCAGTGCTACAGCATAGCTGTCTAAGCCTCTGCCTGGGGCTCTGGTACCTCATACAGTTGCTGGTTCAATTCCTACGTGCTCTATTTCTAATCCTGCTCCTGATTTAGGATTTGGGAAAGCAGTGGAGGATGGATCAGTGCTTGGGCCCGTGCACTCACATGTGAGACCCAGAAAATATTGGCTCCTGGCTTAGGATCAGTCCAACCCCACCTGTTGCGATCATTTAGGGAGTGAGCCAAATACATAAATCCTCTCTCCCTCCCTCTCTCTCTCTCTCTCTCTCTGTCTGTCTCTCTTTCTCTCTAACTCTGCCTTTCAAATAAAAATGAATCTTTTGAAACATACTGAAAAACATACTGAAAATGGAGTGATCCAAGACTGCTTTTAATTGCCCAGTGCGGTGGAGAGCTGAGCATCAAAATTAACAGCAGCTAATTTCCTGACTGCAGGAAACACTAATAAAAACTGCAGCAACAAACTGTTTGGCAGAGTAAATATATATATATATTGATAAGACACTATTAACAAGGCAGGTCCAAAGAAAAAGTCCTCCCGTAAATTGTTGGTGGGAGCCAGTTGAGGCTGATTTTGCAGTAACCATAAAACTTGCAAAAGTATGTGAGACTTTGATACAAAGAATCTGTTTCTAGGAAGGTCTCCTCCAGATATGTTTGCGTAAGTGCAAAATGTCGCATTGATTCTGATAATAAACATGGGAGAAAGATAATAAAATAATGTTAAAAGCATTGACAAGCAACTTTGTCCATTGGAGACAGAGCAAATGAAGGAAGATACATTTATACAGCAGCAGCAAAAATTTTAAAGATTCTTCCCGCTCTTGGGCAGAAAGTTCTCGTCTCTGCATTACGTGGAAAGGCAGATTGGAATCTAGTCCCTCCTGGGTCCGAGGCAGCAGCAATAGGAAAGGCCTCGAGTCACAGAGAGTTTCGCAAGAATCGCATCAGGTTAACAAACAAGAACGACCATCTTGGCTTCTGCACGTAACAACGGGCCGACACACGGCCTGATAAGATGAGACAGAGAGCTAGTTTGGAATCCAGGCTTGAGCAAGATTTTTTTTTTTTACCTCTGAGCCTGTCTCTTTATCTCTGAAAGGGGTAAGAACAGCTGCCTCACAGAGGTTCATGAAGAAGAACAAGGTGATTGCAAATAGCCAGGCCCCAAATTCAAACATGATGTTTGTTGAGATTTAGAAAAGCCCACCTTAAGAAGTTTGCTCCTTAATGCCATCACATGGAATGCGCGCCATCTACTGGCGAACGCGGAAGAACACAGCCCTGGGAGGAGGGCATTGCTGTGGACCTGGCTGAGATCTGGGGTCCTTCCTGTCTACCACACCTGCTACAAGGAAG